TCTATTATTGGGTAATATAATTATTTTAACTACACTATTAGGCTACGTCGCAGTCGGATAAAGTGTCCAAGCAAGGTTTTTCGTTAAAAATCAAAATGTACAACATTGAGCTATTATGTACCTACTACGTACTAGAGGCGACACTGCATTCAGCTACTCTGTTCCACTCAACTGCGGTGCTTACACCGCACTTTAATCAGTCACTCGCTAGGCGCTTGTAGAGTTGTCACGTGTCGTGTTTATTTAAAAAAATCTCTTAATAAAAATATGCCGTCGCGTGTACTTAGATATTGCACAAATAATTCAAGAAATGTCAGTAAAAACCAAGGAATTACTTTTCATCGGTTAATAAAATACTTAACCAATAAAAAAAAGTATTATAGATTAATAATAAAACAAATTATTCCTAAGACGCCATCTCGTGTCATGGAATATAGATTATGAAATTAATATGTTCAGATGCGACGTTTCTGTGGGTACTTAAGTATAGTACGAATATATTATTATACACATTTTTTTTCATAGAAACATATATAAGTCATTATAACTAGGCTAAATTTTTCATGTTTAAATCTGATTATTATTTTTTTATTTTATTTTTAGGTTTCCACGTCAAAGTCAAAGTGGAATAAATTTGTCTATTTTTAATTCTCGCGTGCCCAGCATTTATGAACGACTTTTATTCTAATTTAAATAAATATATTTGTATTTTAAATATTATGTTAATAAGTTTTGTAAAACATACATTTAGTATGTTTTTTATATTTGACATAGATACCTTTTAAATATTCGGATAAAAATATCATTAAAATGTAATTGTGATATAATATTATGTAATTTTTATTACATAAGCAAATATAATATACAAAATAAATGACAAAATTTAAATAATGTTCTCGATATAATTTACCTATTTAACAATAAGTACAATCTGCTATTACCTGCGGATCATTCTACCTATGTTTATTCTATGATAAAAAAACAACCGCGCGAACACAGAGTAGCGCTCATTTTTTGTTTGAGATAGCTGTTCTAGTACGTAACTACATAATTACTTCAATGATGTACAATAAATTGCCAGAAATAACAAGACTTCGTTTCGACAAGTGACAAAAACATACTTTATGAAACACGTTTTCTATAATATAGAAGAATATATGAAATGTTTATTTTCTGACCTCAGATGAAGTAAAAAAGGTAGATATCGCACCTAGAACAACAAACTGTAACCAGTTTTATAACTTTGTGTGAGTCAGAGAAGTGTTGCCACTTTTTTTTAAAAGTCCCTGAAATTCGAGATACAATACTACAACTATAAGAGTAATATGCGATGCGAATGCGAAAGTACATCGGTCTGTTTTAATAAATTTCAACAATTTGACAACTTAAAAAAAGATAGAGCACGTAGGAGGCCTCTGTAGATCATTTAAAAGTCTTCTTGATAGATTGTCGAGTGAGCATGTTAACATCGATAAAATATACAACAAATGTAGTGTAAAATATGTTTATTATAAAAAATAACTTAATACTAAAAAAACTAGTTAGAATAAAAAATAATTTTCCATGGAATTAAAAATATACTTTTCTAAATGAAAAAAAAAAGTATATTTTAGTAAATGCAAAATAGAACAAACTCCAGCCGGGGGCACAAAGAAGTGTTCTAATTTGTACCCCTGGTAGGAGAGATTTGAAGTATCAGACGGAGAGGACATCTGAATATCGGTTAAAAAGAGCAAGGCCGGATTCGCCGTCTCCGGGTGGTAGTGGACAGCATTGAGATTGGAATGAGAAGAGGAAACAGAGGAAAACCTCTACTTCACGCAGGTATTTTGTGAGGTCGTGGTACCACCCCGGTTCAAGCTAGTCCATCCATGCGACATCAAAAGCCGCTGCGTGACTCTATCACTGTTAAGTTAAGAGGATGGCTGCCATTTTGATGCATTTCAGCTCAGTCTTATAGCAGCTACTCTTCATTTTTTTATAGGATAGGATGACAAATAAGCATACAGTCCACCTGATGATAAGTGATTGCTGTGGCCCATAGACATCTACATATATCCTCGATTACGAATCAAAATGCAGATGCGCTGTCACCCGTGAGGACTAAGATGGAATGCCTCGTTTCCAGTAAAAAGAGTCTCCGGTTCTCTACACTCGCCATACGAAACAGCAGCATAAAGCTACTATTTTACGCTAGTATTCTGTGAGAGCGTGGTCCTTCCCCGGTCAAGCCGACCCATTTGTGCTATAACTATACTACTAATAGTATAACTGCAGCATGGCATGTCTTATTAAAATATTCGTTGGTAGCCTAAAATCGTAAATATTTTTGATAGTAAAATAGTTTGTAAGTACTCAACAATTAAAACAGAAACATCATTAAAAAATTAAATATTTGCCTTGACTTCAATTTGATGTAACATAATAACAACTAATAAAAAATATGCTGACTACATATATTTTTATAACTTAGCCTAAAATTAATTATTCAAATCTTGGATCATTAGAAATAAGAAATACTGGCAATATTCTTCCGTTACATAATCTCGAAACATTGACATTCGTGCTTCGAATAACCTTCAAAATTGTCATGGAATAACAAATTAAAATATAGTTAAATGAATGTTTACGAGTGAAACGATATTGTTTCAAACTTTTTGTTCACTTTGGTATTGTTTTTGCACCATTTAACTACACAGGACGGCATTTTGTAAGCAAATTTACTACACGACGCCCCGGGAAGTACTGAGCGAAAATGAGCGTAGTTTGATGCATGTGTGTGCGTGAAAACATGTGCTTACATAAAGGAGCGGAGTTTTTTGGCTTCACCAATAACAAAGGCCGCGCTGTATCTACCTTTTTTTATTTCATCTGAGTATCTGACATGCTTGACATGTAAAAATAATGTAAATGTATTTTGATTTGTAATTTTAATAATCTAATGTAATCTTATATCATTGATGATTTTTACATACCTGTTATATTTTAATAAAATGGCCGATAAAAAAAAAGTAAAAGGTATTTGTTGATTCAGCCTTAAAAATATTGTTGACGTTATTATAAAAAATCGTAGCTATTTAGATATTATTTTTAAACGTGATTGTGTTTACAACATAAAAACAAACCAATCTAACTATAGTTTGTTTTGGGACATGAAAAAAAAGTCAAGTCCAGCTCTTATAGAAATTTGGCCATCCTTTAGGCTCTATATGTCTAAAAATAAGGATTGTAACATTTATTTATTAAAAAATTATATTATATATGATTTATCTTATATTTTATGGCGCACATGTTTTCTCGTATCTTGCAAAGGGTAATGTTATTTTGTCTACTTGGACCTCTTGAGAAACTATCATCATTAAATGTTTGTTAGCTTACGCAGTTTCTCGATTAGTTTTTACAAAACCTGTCATAAATACGCACTTCTTTATTTTTTTAACATGGTGCATTGCCCTTGCCCTTTTTTCGTATTGATTGCTTCATCGCAGTTTTACGTACAAGGTGTTTCAATCTACTGTCAATGTATTTTTGAATGACATCTATTAGTTTTGAAAATAATCGTGAATATACAACACGTAATTTCGTAGATACCTACATATATAACTGCCGAAGTTAATATTTTAATCGCTTTAAAATAAGTGTAGTGTTACTTCAAATTTCAGCTTTAGCATTATATATTTAGCATCTCCAATCACCTTAAGTTTCAAAAATAGATTTAAAAAACGAAATCAATATATTGAACTTCTAGTTGGGTTGTTTCTTTGCTACACCCTCTTATTTGCCAATTCACTGATTTTCGGAAATGTGAAATCAGAAAAATATTTTAACCGTATCTACCTTTATTATGTACTCATATTAAAAAAAACTTTTAAAACATTTTTATTAACATTAAACTATATGGTTTTGTAATAGAAATAATCTTAATTTCTAATACTATGATTGTATTACATTTACGAAAGAAACCATGTTTTTACAAAATATTCGTGTGTAATGTCTTACAACACTAGCTTTAATTCGAGGAAAGCCTAGAAAGCTGGGGAGGTCATGCTGTGTTGACACAGCCACGCGCCCCCAGCAGTACCCTTTGACACTAATAAATTTTGTGTCCGCGTGCGCTTTCGTAACTAATAGCGTCGCCTATGCAATTTCGAGACTGCTCATACCCGTGCTTCTGTTCATACTCGTTAACAGGTTTTTTTACGCCCAAAGCAATAAGGGCAACCCTCAGGAAAGCGGGGGAGGGAGGCGGTGAATACTCATAGCCACAAACTAACTAGATACACCCGTCTCATAGCATACCACGCAGCCGGCTGCGTGGTTATGTGGAGACTTTTACCCACTGAACACCGCCTTTAGGGTAGGCTTGTCGATTAAATATCGATACATCGATATTTTCAATTTGATATATCGATATTTTTGGGCGATATATTTTGTTACGATATATCGATATCAAATATCCAATATCGAAATTGTATCAAAAACTATATTTTCTGCTTTTTAATTTGGTACTTAAGTTGGTTTTTAAGTTGGCAAATCTGTCTTTAAGTCAATGACATATGTGAAATGTGTCAGTTCAGTTCAGTAATTTCATTCATTTGTGTATCTGACTAGGCTGTATGGGCTCAGATCCCTTTGCCTTCTTACTTCGTTAGAAACGAGAAAATTAACCAAAAAAATTATTCAATTGTCATGTCGTATTATATGTTGTCCGTCCGTTATCCGTGACGAACCTCAACGCGCGCGTTTTTCTTCATTTGAGTTGATTGTAGTCTACAATCTTACTAATTCAATCAATAATTAATTTGAGCATTCCAGTCATGTCTAGTGTTGTATGGAACTTTTTTAAAAAAGTAGACAAACAAAACGTTTCATGTAATCTGTGTCGAAAAAGATAAAAAACCAGTGGCAATACGACGAATTTAGCTACACATCTATAAAATGAGCATCATCATACGTTTCTCCAACTTTAAAATAAAAACGCAAGGTCATCAAGTGAATGGATGTATTCCAAGAACCACAATACAACAAGAACCAGTTCGCCCGTTCCGTCTACTAGTTCATCTATTACTAATGAACCTGCTAAGACAGAAAATAACTTCATGGAATTGTCTGAATCTGCAATTTACGATGATACTGGTGTAAGTATTTTATTTGTGCAAGGCCAAACGTAGCTTTAAAATTTAGAGCCTGTAGAATGTAAATATCATTCGTTAATCTTTTATAACTAATAATTAGTCAACTAATGATGTGTGATTACTAAAAGTATCGATATCGATAAATTTATATTTTAGTGTTTTTACTTAAACTTATGTCGTTATGTATTTATGTCGACAATAGTAATGAAATATGTGCAAAATGTTCAATGAAATTTTTCAGACTGAATCCTCCATAGATGGTGGTCGTCAGAGTAAAGACTTGTGGAAACAAACTACACTCATAGATATGTTTGAAAGAAGTTCAAGCTATGAAGGTATTTTTTATTGATATCAGATTATCGCATTGTTTATATTTTAGTTCTACGACTAGGTCCTCATTTTATTATATTTTTCAATTTAGCAGGGGGTCAAAAAACTAGCCAAATAAATCAAGCTTTGATCTACATGATCTGCAAAGACAACATGCCTCTATCTTGTGTAGAAAAGGCAAGGTATCTTGTGTAGAAAAAACCTGAATTGAAAAGATTTATGAGTGCCGTTTGTCCACGCTATAAGGTTCCATCTCGAACTACTGTAAGCAAAGTATACCTAATATTAAATTATTATCTTATCTTTTTTATTTTCAAATGTTATTTTTTTATTCATTCCTTATTACAGATAACTGGCTTCATGGAACAACGATATGCCACTACCAAAGCCATTTTAAAACAAAAATTAAGTGAGAAAAATAATATTGCTTTAACAAGTGACATATTAACTCTTACCAACTCGACACGAAGTTTCATCGTAGTGACAGCGCATTTCCTTAACACTGCAGATAACTGCACTCCTGAGCATGAGATGGTGACATTGACAGCACGGAGAATGTATGCATCAAATTATAAAAAATAAAATAAATAGTAAGTTATAATAAATTTAATGAAGTGGACTAATATTGGTTTTCTTAACCTACAGGCACACACAGCTGATTGTATAAAAGAATGCTTTGAAAATATTACCGAAGAGTTCACAATAGAAAAGGATTGCATTTTATCAATCACCACTGACGTTGGTGCTAACATGGTCACTGCAGTGAAACAATATTTGGGAGATGGAAAAAGAATTCCTTGCATGGCGCATTTGCTGAATTTAATAGTGGATGGGGCAACAAGAGATAATGGACCAGTTCTACAAATTGCCAATCGTGTCAAAGCCATCGTAACATATTTTAAACAATCTGTAAACGCAATGGACGATTTACGAGCAGAGCAAGAGGGAACAAAGAAAGAGGGAGAAGTGTTAACACTTATACAATCAGTAAGCACAAGGTGGAATTCTTGTCTTGACATGTTGGAAAGATTTAATACATTATCAGCTATTGTGGCTAAGATTTTGGCAACCAGGCGGAATGCACCTGATATGATAACTTCTTCAGAGTTAAGTGTCATACGAGATCTTATAATGTTGCTTACCCCATTTAAGCAAGCTATGAAGAAATTAGCGGCGATCAGTACGTGACTTCTAGTTTAGCGATTCCTATTGCAAACTTACTTCAGAAAGGACTTGAACAAATGAAACCTTCCACCGAATTTGGTGTTGCTGTTCAGAAGAGTTTGCTAAACTTAGTTATTGCCAAACTAGAACCACTAGAGCGACATTTACATCTTGCTAAAGCAACAATTTTAGACCCTCGCTTTAAGCGTATTCATTTTAATTCAGCTCTGGCTGTTCCCACTGCAATAAGCGCATTGTCAAAAGAAATACGTTTAAAACATAGACGTAGAGGACAATTATCGCCTGAACTCAGATGCAGATCTATTACCACAATACCAAACTCAGAAAAGATGAGAAGTCGTTGTGGTCCGGACATGAAAAAATTTTGATAGATATTGCTGCAGCTTCAACAAACTCCAGTTCACTTTCAACCAGTGATGGAATGCCTAGCGAACTAAAGCAATACCTAGATCTGCCTATAATACCCAGAAAGGAGAATGCAACAAAATTTTGGTTTGATTGTCACCATTTTACCCCAGTTCTTTCCGATATAGCTGTAAAGTATTTGATATCGCCTGCGTTATCGGTTTCCTCAGAGAGAGTGGCATCTGCTGTAAATCTCGCAATACCCAATAACAGAAGTCGGCTTACAGCCGAGCACATAAATCAAAGAGTTTGTCTAATGTCTGTATCAGATAGATATTGGTTTAGTTAATAAATAATTAATATTTTTTTATCGTTGTTCTTGATTTATTAAACATGTTTTTTATTGATTAGTATTTATCTAGTAATGTACCTAAGATGACTGAAGTAGGTTAGACCTTTTTTTCATATCGTACCAATATATCGATATTTTTAAATAAAAATATCGATATCGATATGTATCGATACTTTATTGCATTTCCGACATCCCTACTTTAGGGACTGGCTTAACGATCTAGCTAGAGATCTTTAAGCCGTATCGAACGCGAACCCCCTTGGGTGAAAGGGGGGCGCTAAGTTAACACGCAATGTGGCTTGCTTATTTATACTCCTATATACATGTAACATTTGGAGTATGATCCGAAATAATACCCAGTACACTGTCGAATGCAAATGACGTCATTAATTGACGTCGTATTCCACCATATCGATACAACGAATCACCAATATGGCGTCGATTTATGACGTCATTTGTATTGGCCAGTGTACTGTGTTGTATTTCGGAACATACCCCATATATTTTCGATTTTGCTGAAGGCCTTATATCAAATGCATAGAGTAGAGTAATATATACAGAAAATCAAATGCCACAATACCACAATAACTGAAAAAATTGTCACTTGTCAAAGGAAACGTCAAATTTGTCGTCAAAGTCAAAATTTTAATAAAATTTGTTCTAAAATAAAGTAGGGATAGGTTAATAGTGGTTATAATATTTACAAAATGGTACAAGGGGATCAACCTCCACATGATGATAATTTATTTAGAGCTTTTGCTAATGCTCTATACGCAACAGTAGATGCCCCAGTAACGTGGTTTAGAGGTGTTGTCTAATTACTTGTAATGTTGTTATGTAAGTCCTTATATTTAAACTTTTAATCTTTGTCCGATTGCAGAAAAAGTTGTAGAACCAAACCAGAAAAAATATCCTTGGTATCATCGTCAGTTCCGTCGCGTACCTACCATTGATCAATGCTATTCTGACGATCCTGTATGTGATTTCGAAGCTAACTCACAGTTTAAACGAGACAGGTTATACTTTTATTTTCATAAACAATTTTATATTTAATGTAACACTTATTTGCCACAAAAACCATAAATATTTCCATCATCCATTATCGTAAATGTTCACATCACAATTCCATTGCTTTAACAGAGACCACCTCTAAGGAAAGCCACAAGGCACAGTCGTAAATCACCTACATCTATTAACTTTGTGCATCTCTTACCATGTCGTCACTCTACTGTATAGTGGAAGAGTAAAAATAATTCAGATTAAAAATGTACTTATTATATTTGCTATAAATTAATGACCCTTAGTTTAGTTTAGTTTACGACGGGCTGTTTTGCGCAACTCCACTTCTAAGCGCGTATTTTGCGCGTGGGCAGGAATAATGTGATTATTCTAGCCATGATATCTTCCCGAAGAAGTTCAACAGTCCTTTAATGTTGATGAAGCGACTTCTGGACATGTCAGCAACATGTGGGCCGCCGTTTCTTCCTCTCCCATTAGAGACCCTTAACCTGATTGACTAAAAGAGAATTCCAAAAGGCATTGTCTGCCTGTATCCTATCTACTTATATGTTTGTTGCAGTAAAGTGTAAAAAAAAAATTAGGTACACAATTTACTATCAAAGTGGCATAGAAATCAACTTTATTCTGCGCAGTCTAAACATCCTCATCAGTTATCAGTTTTGATAGATTATACAGCCATTATAAATAAAGTGATTTGTAGAGATGTGAGAATGTGTGTAGAGGGACACACGGGCAGAGGAAGGCCGAATAAAAGATGGATCGATTGTGTGAAGAGTGATATGAGAATGAAAGGAGTAAGTATGGAAATGACGGCTGATAGAGAGGAATGGAACAAGAAGATTTACTGCGCCGACCCCAGATAATGGGAAATGGTTTAGAGAATGATGAATGATGATATAAATAAAGTGATTTGTCACAGTTTTCTTCTAAATAATTTTAGTGTACAATCTGTAGAAACATTTCTATGTAGCATTTACATAAATTTATCAAGTAAATTCCTTGTTTTTTTTATTGTAATAGAATATTAACAGTAACTATGTAACTCAGCAAGTATGCTTTATCTTATACTGGAATTCTTTTTGCCTAGGTAAGGAATCTCCAAACATTTTATCCTTTCTACTTATGACATACTAGCTGTTACCCGCGGCTTCACCCGCATGGCCACAGGGAAATGAACTATCCATTGCTTTTTGAATTGGAAGAAAACTGAGTTTTATAGATTTGTCAGAGATGCAGCCATTAAAAGAAAACTGAGCAAAATTTATTCTTCAGCCTATTTAAATGTTTTGAAACGCAGCGTATAGGAAAGCATGAAAATAGCCTGTTTATTCCAAATGGAAATGGGATATTTTTTAATTAAAGGAAACTGAGCATAATTATCCATCAGAGTTTAGAAAAGAAACTGAGCTAAATTGATTCGTCAGAGATGCAGTTTTCTGAATTGAAAGGAAACTGAGCCAAATAAAAGATCCTTCAGAGATGCAGCCTTTTGAGTTGAAAGGAAACTGAGCTTAATAGGTCCGTCAGAGGTGCAGCATTTGGAATTGAAAAGAAACTGAGCTAAATAGGAAATTTTGAATTGAAAGGGAAGATCTGTGGGAATATTGATTGATTGTGGGAATTTTGGAAAAATAACTAACTGAACACTATTTTAATACGCTACTGTACACAATGTTATATGTTTTTCCATTTGGGGAAAGAATGTGGAGATTCTGGGCATTTGACACACGTGAACATGCTACACACAGCTGACCATGAGAGAAGCACGGTTTTTCTAAGTTGACCCCCACTACCTATAACGTTTGCCCTTGCGCTTTATTAATTGTCATTGCAAAACTGAGCTTAATAGGGAACTGCAACCTTTTGAATTGAAAAGGAAGATCTGTGGGAACTATAGGGATCCGTGGTATAATAACATTTTCACCTTTTCCTACGCCTGTCAAAATTGTAGCACCGATTATGTTCCGTCCAAGATGTGTCACACGCAGCCTTGTCCCGTTACATAACCGAGGAGCATCTAAATTTCGCATTAGCATGACTGGGACGCCTAATTTTAATTGAAGCTTATGTGAGGGTACACCTGACAACTAGAGAATTTAGAAACTCTGCGGGATATGAAGTGCTCTGTTCTGTGTCCATAACTGTGTCTACTGACAAATACTCTGTTACTTCTCCTGCTACTTCGCTTAATATATCTGAATTTATTTTGTTAACACTCATTTTTTGGTGCAAGAATCGCCCTTTCACATAACCATTTGTCTTCATGCATGTTGTTCGGTAAATCTGAATAAACGCTCGCAAATTTGAATGACTCTTCTAAATTATAAAAATCTCTCGTCAATTTAACGCAGCCCTCAGCATCCGTTTCCAACCGCCCATCGCCAATTTTTAATAGTGTGTCAGCATAGTTTCCAGCATTGATATCATTATACAAATGCACTCTCATATTCGTAGTTAAACTGAATTTTGTCACCTTGTTCCATAAAATAGACGACTTGAGGCATGCTTTAATTTAATCTGCAGGTGTGCCCTTTTGAATGACAGGTAAAGTTTGGCGAAAGTCACGAGCCAGTGAAACCACCATTCCTCCCATTACATCGGTGTTGCTGTGCAAATCCTGGAGCGTTCGATTTAGTGCTTCTACAGCTTTTTTATGCGATATTGTGCTTTCATCCCACACTAAAAGTTTGCATTGTCGTAGCATTATACCTCGTGCACTATTTCTGCTAAAGTTGCAGATCGGCGATTCTTCCTGGGCTAGATTTAGAGGGAGTTTTAAAACAGAATGTGCAGTGCGGCCCCCGCTTAGCAGCGTGGCGGCTATACCGGAGGAAGCTACGGCCACAGCAATGTTTTTATCTTTCCGTACTTGAGCTAATAATAAATTTAACAAAAATGTCTTCCCAGTTCCTCCAGACAATGTATACGTTAGTTAATAAGAACTCTCAAAAATTATTTTTCTTATAATTTTGCACAATTTTTCTTATTGTAATACCGATTCATTCATAACCACATATAAGAACTGTATTCATTTCCATTCAATAAATATTGCTAAGGCTTATTAATAAGGCTTACTAAGAACTGTTTCTACCACAGTTTAAGTAATAGTTAAGGGTGAAGGCGTGACAGGTGGTGATAGTATTTCTGATCCATACTTATAATCACGCCTGTAACCCTTGCCGGGTACGCAGAGCATCAACAGATTACTTAATATCGTCTGCGAGGTTATCACCTATTCTGTGAATTACAATGCACCAAAACGTTTGAAGAAAATCAGCTGGTGAAT